GTGAAAAAGGATTGATTGTTAATGAGACAGCAGATATTTATTTTTTTGTGTTATAAAATATTTTATTTTCCGAATTCAGTTACCACATTGTGGCCGTGTTCGTAGTTAATGTTCTTAAGTGTTGGCTTTTTCTTTTTTATTATTAAGGTTTTCATTATTTTTAATCTTTTTTTTTTTCATAGGTGAATGAGGTAATTATGTTTTTTTACTACTAATATGTTTCGGATTAATAATCCGACAATTACTTCAAACGTTATTATAGTAGATACTTTTATTGGAAATAGATGATAATTATATTCTTCGATTTCGTATGTAAATTCTATTACATGTTCGAATTTGTTTAGTTGATCTACTATGTCACGTAAATCAGTATCACGAAGATATATAAGTAGAGCATTATCAATATAACGGAAGTATGTTGACTGCTTGAAGTAAAATACATTGGAAAGGAACAGATTCGAGAAATTCTAATAAGATACATGCCATCACTCCATTAGGAGACGATCCCATTGCTAATCTAATTTTTTGTTTGGAAAAATCATTATTAAATGTGAAAAAGAATTGATTTGTGATGAGACAGCAAATATTTATTATTTTAGCTGTTGGCAGGGAGAGAATTAACTTTAATTGCTTTAGGTACTTTTATAGGAAATTTAGGCATTTTTGAACTGGGATGTTCAATTGGGGGCATGTGTAGACACACCAGCATAACATATTTAGTCCGAAACGTGTCACAAGAAAACTTTTTCTCCATTGTCATACATTTTTCACCAATATTGTTCTTGATATATGAAAATATATATCGTTATCTCTATATATATATATATATATATATATATATATATATATATATATATATATATATAAGATGAGGACAATAGTCCGAATAATAATAAAATATATATATATATATATATATATATATATATATATATATATATATATATATATATATATATATATACAGTAGCGTCCAAAACTAACTTTTGGACGTTCCAAATCTGAAAATAAAAAAATAATTGTTATAATTCTTTTTCTATCCTTTGCAAATGATTCAAATTTCAGTATGTTATTATGGATGATAACGACTATCAGTTGTCAAAATTTCAGCTTTTCACAGTTGTTATTTCTAACAAATATTAGGTTTTAAAATTGTGCCCTTAGTTTTGGACGCTACTGTATATATATACTATTTACATTATTCGGACTATTGTCCTCATCTTTGTCGCCATATTTATTACAACGTTTCGGCCTTTCAGTATCTGTCTATATTTCTGAGATGAGGTATTATGTACACTATTTACATTATTCGGACTATTGTCCTCATCTTTGTCGCCATATTTATTACAACGTTTCGGCCTTTCAGTATCTGGCTATATTTCTGAGATGAGGTATTTTGTACACTATTTACATTATTCGGAGTATTGTCCTCATCTTTGTCGCCATATTTATTACAACGTTCCGGCCTTTCAGTATCTGTCTATATTTCTGAGATGAGGTATTATATACACTATTTACATTATTCAGACTATTGTCCTCATCTTTGTCGCCATATTTATTAGAACGTTCCGGCCTTTCAGTATTTGTCTATACTTCTGAGATGAGGTTGATGTTCACTATTTACATTATTCGGACGATGTAATCATAAGCAATACATTTTTATATCTTGTTTCTTGAATATGAGGATTTCCTGTCCTTATTTTTCAAATTTGTCTCGCTGAATTTACAGAGTTCAAGGCATCGGAAGAGAGGAAACAATAACAGACAGAACAGCCTGTAGGGACACAGAAGTCGATTATCTTTAATTAGCTCACCCCCATTTTCTGTTAACGTTTCGCTTTTTACCGGTGATACCCGACCTGATTATTATTATTATTAGTATTATTATTATTATTATTATTATTATTATTATTATTATTATAATAATAATAATAATAATACCTGTTGTTATTATTAATACACAGTTAGCTTAAAAGTGATTTTCACTATTTCACTTGTGGTTATCACATAAAATATTGTCCCGATGTGAATGACCACCAGTTTTGAAATACGTTTCTATAAAATATCAGGGAAAAGAAAACGCAAAACTTTGTAGCCTCAGGCTATGAAATGCTGCCGTGTGCCATTGTTTATCGTCGTCGGCATCCGTCCGTCTCGAGAGACGATGGAGTAGTGTGGTGCGCCACGAGCCTGGGTGGGATATATGGAGAACTAGGGCTGCTCAGATGTCTAGTTCCCCCTCTCCGCCTTGCTAGCAGAGCCCAAAGGAGAAGATAAACCAATATATTTGTGGCTGCAGGAGTGCCGTCCATCCCCGGGTTTGAATTCAGAGTTGTCCTTCTTCTAGACCAGCTGCCATCCAAGGCTATAGAATCCAGTCTGTCCTATTTACACACAGCTGGAGGGAGAAGAAGAGGATTCATACCTTTCCTAAAGATATTAGCACGTACATATATGTAATGGATTCGACTAGAATTCGAACTCGGCTCTCCGATTCCTCAATCCAAGCCGATATCCATTACTCCACCGTGCCTCCCATGGTTTATATAACCAACAAAAATATCCATAAAGCCTTGTATCATGAAAAAACGAAAATATATTTGATACATCCTAATATATTTGCCCATACATATTTTACAAGAATCCTTGCAATTCTCTATATCTGTTTCATGAAAGCAATCTGTTGCCTAAATGTTAAAGAGTAGACCTTTATTTGATAATCACAGCTCATCAGTGTGGCCAGACATCTGGTTGCTTGAAGCCGGGATCAAAACCCTTCTGATCTGGCATCAGTTGGAGATCTTACCTCTTATGCTATCAGCGCGAGGAAAGGAAATTCTAGCGTACTGTATACGAATGTAAACAAACGCTAGTAGCCAACAGTGTTCAATTTATCAATGAAGAGCAGTGCGTTAATAGAGAAGATCCAGGAAAAAGTTTTAAAGAAAATAAAAATAGCATTTAGAATAATAGAAAAAGCAGTTGAATTTTCTGGGAGGCATAATGAAGAAAAAAGAGGGGGAACATTTGATAATCACAAGGCGTATTGAAGCAAGAGGGACATGGTAAAACAGCAAGTTACCTGCTTAAATATTTGTAATTCTTGTCATTCATTGTAAACTTAATAAATATATAAAAAACATGAAATTTATTTTATTTATACAGTGACCTTCAATATAACAATGTAAAAATATCAAGACATAATATAAAAGCTTCTTGACCATATTGAAAAATAGGTTTTGGAAAAAGATAAAATAGAAACTAACTTGAGTATATCAGCCGATTTCATTATATGCTTCTTCCAGAGAAGACTGAACAAATGATTTTAGTTTTAATGATAGTAAGGGGAATTCAATTAGACTTTAATAGAATGAGGTCACACAAATTTTCTATATCACATGTAAACCTGATATTCCAAAGATAACAAAAGATAAAAAAAAAATGCCATATATAAACAAACTTGAACATTTTTTTTTATTCATGAACATTGGAATTAAATTGTTATTTGTAAAAATGCTGTTTTACTTGAATCTCGTCAATACAACAATGTACGCAGACTGACCGACATCAGAACGAATTATTAAATAAATTAAATCACCGATATATATTATGGATATTTAAACCACTTGCCTTACTTGGCATAAAACTCCAATTCTTCAAGTATGGGATGTGACTTGGGTGATAGGCTCTCCACAATCTCCTATCATTTGTAACTTTAAGAAATACAATGTGTAGTTTTTACTACCCACACCCATTCATGGTTACATAAGTCCGTTAGATAGGTTACACGCTATTTCTCTCTGTCTCTCTTGACTTTAGTATGTCCTGTGAGTGTTAAAATCTCCGTGTCGTCTTCCCTTATCATGTATCGTAACATTTTCAGTTTCTTTTCAGTTTATATTTTCCTTAAAACTTCCTTAATGATCCCATGTTCCGTCCCTGGCATTCTCAGCATTCATATGCAAAACCATATCTATGATACATTTCGGCCTTTCAGTATCTTACTTATTATAAAACGCAGGTTGTATGTGTCTGTTCGTTTATATATGGGATAGGATTTCCTACATTTTTCAACCGATTTCAACAAAACTTCACAGAACTACGTAAAATTACCCGGCGGTGGTTCTGACAGCGCCAAAAATTGGAAAAACACAATTGTTTTTGCACAAAATCAATTTGAAAGCACGGGTAAGGGCCATTTATGCAGATTTTTCTTAGTCTTTGAACGATGTTTTGTTACCGAGCCACCAAAACAAAGCAAATGGTCCAGTTTCTGATAGAACTAACGCTTGGCTCTCTAACAAGTACCAAATTGTTTGCAAGACTGTCAAAACCGCTTGACCAGGGAACCATAAACGGAGGTACCAAGGGACAAGATTTAGCCCTCTGAACACACATTCACTGGCACAGTATGTACAGTTTTGGTTTGATTCAAATGAAACTTGCGGCTTACTATCGGCTTTATGTGTTTCAAATTTCAGAATTTTTCGGCAAAAATAACCGTAGCTGAACGCGGATCAATCTTTTTTGTAACTTCCTTACACACACACAGCTGCGTACAACCGAGTCCACGTGTCGATACCGAGACTGCTGCAAGCTCATTGGCCGCTTTCACAGTAAGGGGAATTCGATTAGACTTTAATAGAATGAGGTCACACAATTTTTCTATATCACATGTAAACCTGATATTCCAAAGATGACAAAAGATAAAAAAAATTGGGGGGGGCCTGTCCAATCATCGCGCAGGATTTCTCACACGTTATAGCGCCCGCGTGATCGCACGTCAGCTTATATGTAAGTGCGCTCAAGGTCAACCACCTCTATTGCGCAACTCGGGCGTGCTTTCACACTTTTGCGTTTATGGTTGCCCGCATGCACGCAACTTATTTTACTGGGTGTTCCCCTTTTTGTGTCTACGTTAGCAGTGCACGTTTTTTTCGTTTTGGATTTGTCGAAATCTATTTTTAAGCTTTACCCTCCTTGACGTTTTTACTGTTTGGATGCCACCTAAAAGGAGGAAACTTTTGGGACGGCGCACGGCAGCTGCCTTCGCTGCTAGAGCAGCGAGGGCGAGTGAAACCCCTGAACAGACTTCTTTACGTCTTTCACGGATGGCCTCGAGCTCAGCTGCTCGCTTATCCATGGAAAGCGCCGCTGCGCGGACTGAAAGGTTGGCTTCAGCGGCTTCAACTATGTCCGCACGCCGCGCCAGCCTTTCAATTAAAGAACGTTCACTTCAGAATTCACAGGAAGCAGTCCGCGTGGCTAGGCTGAGGGCTTCACAGTCTCCAGCACAGAAAACCCTTCATAGTTTGCGGGATGTCACCGCCAAAGCTTACTCCAGGGGTTTAGAAAGCTCCGAACAAACAACAACACGTCGTCTTAGGAATACTAGGGCTACAGCCGCCGCTAGAGCTTCGGAACAACCCCAAGAAACCGCCCATCGTCGCTTTAGAAATGCCCGCTCCACGGCGTCTGCCAGAACCTTAAAAAGCCCTGCACAGACCACTGTTCGTCGCGTTAGAAATGCCCTCTCCACTGCATCTGCTACAGCCCTAGAAAGCCCTGAACAGACCACTGTTCGTCGCGTTAGAAATGCCAGATCTACTGCGTCTGCAGAAAACTCTGAAGTACGCCGTCAACGGCTCGAAAACATTAGCATTTCGAGCTTTTTTGAATGGCATAACTTCGCCGTCTGCGTCATTTTGGTCAAATGCCACATACAATTATGTATGCACTGTCAATTATTCCGCTAGGAGAGACGTACAAATAGGGTCCATGGATAAAGTTTACACTTTTTGCAACGCAAAAAATTGGACCGGTGAGCAACCTGGGCTTTGTTGCTCTGGGGGCAAAATCAAACTCCCTTCTTTAGACGAAACTCCCCAGCCGCTTAGGGACCTCCTTCTGGGTACAACTTCGGAGTCAATGCATTTTCTTGAAGCAATACGGAAGTACAACTGTTGTTTCCAGATGACGTCTTTTGGTACGAAGGCTATTAGTGAGGGGGATGGATGCCTACTTTCAAAGTGCAAGGCCAGGTTTACCACTTAATGGGATCACTTTTGGCTGATCAGGGAGAGACACTTCAGTTCCTACAAATTTACTTTCTCGCTGTTTACAACGAGCAGGTTGATGCGTGTCTCGGCATTCTGCCTAGCGATATTTCCTTCGGTCCCCGTAGAGACATTCTTTTCCGTCGACAAGACATGCTTCACGAAACTAACAGTTACATCCGAAGCTTAAAGTTTGCGTTGCAAAACAACTCTTTGCCCTCTTTCAGTGTTGTCATCGATGCAGACAGGCGGCCTCACGGTGAGCATGAGCGTCGCTTCAATGCTCCTGCATGTAATGAAGTCGCCGAAGTCATCCACGGTGAGGAGCATAACAGGCGTGACATTGTCATAAGGTACCGTGGCGGTGGTCTGCGCCGCATCAGTGAAACCCACTGTTCATACAACTATCTCCAGTACCCCCTTCTTTTTCCATACGGAAGCGATGGGTACCACTTCAAAATCTCAATATACCAGGCAAACAGCGATTCCATGTCGAACTCAAAGACGGTCTCCTGTAGGGCTTACTACGCCTACATGTTTATGGTTAGGGAGGGTGAATTTAACCACTTGCACGGGTGCCGTCAACTATTTCTTCAATTCGCTGTTGACATGGTTGCAAAAATGGAGTCGGAGAGGTTAGGATTCATCAAGTTAAACCAATCCAAACTTAGAACCGATTCCTACATTCACCTTCACGATGGTCTGCGTTCTGATAGTGACCCACGCAATCTCGGTAAACCATGCATTTTGCCTTCCTCTTACACTGGTGGCCCTCGAAACATGCATGAAAGGACACAAGACGCAATGACCTATGTCCGTCATTACGGGAGACCTGATTTGTTCGTCACGTTCACGTGCAATCCGAAATGGGTTGAAATCACGCGAACTTTTTCCAAGTCAGCAGTACTCACGCCGCCCTGACCTAATTGCCCGCGTTTTCCGGTTACAGCTGTGTAAGTTTATGGATTTAATCCTTAAAGTGCAAGTCTTCGGACACGTTAAGTGTCATATGTATACAGTGGAATGACAGAAACGTGATTTGCCTCATGCCCACATTCTGCTGTGGCTCAACGATAGGTTTGACGCAAACAAAATAGACAATTTTATTTCTGCTGAAATCCCGGGTCCTGCGCTGGTTCCTTTTCTCCACGAAATGATTAAAAACAATATGATACACGCCTCCTGTGGCGCGAATTACGAAAAAACGTCATGTTGGTCAAGCGGTCCCACTTGCGCAAAGGGTTACCCCCGTAAGTTTATCCCAGAAACGCAGACTGCGACGGATGGTTACCAACTGTACAGACGTGGAATCCCCGGTGAGGGCGGCAGAACTGTGACAGTTAAGAGGCACTCTGGATAATCGTTGGGTGGTGCCTTATTGCCCGCTGCTGTCCAAGACTTTGGAGCCCACATAAACGTTGAATACTGCCACTCGGCTAAGTCAATAAAGTACATCTGCAAGTACGTTAATAAAGGCAGCGATGCTGCCGTTTTCGGTATCCGGCGCTACAATTGCGTTGACGAGGTGACCGATTACGTGGCTGGACCTCAGGCCTTTTGGCGAATTTTCGGATTCCCCATACACCAAAGGGCTCCAGCCATTGTGAAGCCCTGCTGTTCACTTAGAAAATGGACAGAGGATGTACTTCACCGAACAAAACGCCCAGCAGGTTGCAAAAAACCCTAAAGATGCAACCCTTTAAATTATGCTCAACAGATGCTTTTGCCAAAACATTGATATACCCCCAAGTCCCGTCCTACTACGTGTGGTCAAACAATCGGTGGGTTCGGCGAAAGGCTGGCGACCCTGTCGAGTGTTATCCCGATGTAAGCTCTTGCCTTGGACGCGTTTATACTGTGCCCCCCCTTCCCCCAGCCAGCAGGAGTGCTTTTACCTCCGCCTTCTACTTCATGAAATTGCTGGGCCAACAAGTTTCACAGATACCAAAGGCATAGAGTGCCAGTCTTATAGAGAGGCATGCTTCCGTTTGGTATTGCTTGAAGACGACTCCCAATGGGATACAGCCATGGCGGAGGGTGAACTTCTTAGAACGCCATCACGGCTTCGAACGCTGTTCGCCATTTTGCTTTTGCGATGCGAACTAAGCGATCTTCTGTCGCTCTGGCTAAAGTACAGAGAATCCATGTCAGAGGATGTGCTGTTCTCCGTTCAGCGTAACAGCCCAGGAGTTGAATGCGTTTTCACTGACTTCATTGTCAACAGAGCGCTGGTGGCCCATCTGAATTAGCTGAGTATCCCATAGAAGTTTTGAACTCCCTTCAGCCGTCCGGACTCCCACTTTATATTCTTCGGCTCAAATTTAATGCTCCGATTATGCTAATCAGGAATTTGCTCCAACCTAAACAGTGCAACGGGACTCGCCTCATTATTAAATCCCTTTCTCCGAACCTGACTGAGGTGACCATTGCAACTGGCTGCGGCAAGGGGGATGCATCTTCTGCCGTCAGACGCAAGCATACCAATCAACTTTCGTCGCTCACAATTTCCCGTGAAGCTTTGCTTTACTATGTCCATTAACAAATCACAAGGACAGGCGCTTAGCATCGCAAGTCTGCATTTACGTGAGCAGTGCTTCTCTCACGGCCAACTTTACGTTGGGTACTCACGAGTTGGGTCAGGACAGGGTTTTCATTTACTCTCCCAACAACTGTGCTAGACACATAACCTACACGGAGGCCCTGTAGACAACCTGCCCGGTAGCGTTTAAACGCCATGCACACATATGCAGTTCGATTGCATAGCAATTTTTTGTTTGTCATATTGGTTTTAACGTTAGGTCGCAGTAGTCTCCACTTGCCATTACTAAGACATCTTTGTAAAGGTAATATGGCTCTTTTGCTGCCTTCTGACTTTCATACCTTCACTTGCCATCATCGCGTTTGTTTGTACACTATGATAAAACCACTCTATGCAGTTGCAACACAAGCTGCTCAACACATGAACACCGTCATTAGACATGATTGCTCCACTAAAGTTCCGGTTTCATTAACAGTTGATCGGAGCACCTGCAGTTCGTACCAGTGCATACAAGCACATTCACACTTGAGAAGCTTCGGAGTTCGTTTAATTGTCACAAAAGTCGAGTGCGTCTACGAAATTCAGGCTTCTGCTTCCATATACACTTTACAGCTGCCATGGGTGAAACATGTTAGCCATACGGCTCTATTATTTTGTTTTTAGTTGTGTAAAAAGCTTAAAAACAAACGCCAAGGACGGCGACCCCGGTCGGTTTTCATAAGATCTCAGCCGTGATGTTGACTGCTACTGAATAGAAGGCACTTTTTCATTACAATTGAGGCGCTCGGCCGTACAGCACCCCGGTCCGGTTCCATGAGCTCTCAGCCATGATATTGACTGCGACTGAAGAGAAAGCACTTTTTCATTACAATTGAGGCGCTCGGACGTACGGCGACCCCGGTCCGGTTCCATGAGCTCAAAGCGTGATGTTGATTGCGACTGAAGAGATGGCACTTCTCCATTGCAATTACGATGCTCGGCCTTACGGCTACCCCCGTTGCGGTTTTACGGGCTCTCAGCCGCGATGTAGATAGTGACAGATCAGAATAGAGGAAGATATATCACAGAAATTTTCTTACCATGACACCCCGTCACTGTTTGCTCTTCTCTTGGTTTTACGGTTCTGCTTTGTGGTCGTGGCAGCGCCGATTTTGGGCATAAGACGCCTCTTTTAGTTAGACAAGCCGTTTGATTGTCATTGCGCACGGCACATACTTGATGTCTATGATTTCCTCACGGCACGTTTTCCCTTCAATCCCTATTTATGTTGCAACTGAATCGTGGTTTCTTGACTACTTACCACAAGTGCTTCTAGTAATGCTTAACGGTCCAATTGGTTAAAGCAATAACTGCTGCCAGCTTTTACTCACAGATGTCTTAGTAATGGCAAATGACTGATGCTAAAACGGCTTTCCGTTACTTCCTTCGATAGCTTCGAATACTTGGGCCTGCACGATGTCTGCTTATACTTTGTGTGCATTGCGCTTCAACGTTTTGTAGAAACGTAGTTCCTGTCGACCTACAAAGCACATCTTTCAAAGCAACAGCCGTCCCCAACTCTTACTGTTACATACCCGGGCAACGGCGGGCTCTACTGCTAAACTGTCTATATTTCTGAGATAAGGTTTATGTACACTATTTACATTATTCAGACTATTGTCCTCATATTTGTCGTCATATTTATTACAAAGTTTCGGCCTTTCAGTATCTGCCTCTATTTCTGAGATTAGGTTTATGTTCACTATTTACATTATTCGGACTATTGTCCTCCTCTTTGTCGCCATATTTATTACAACATTTCGGACCTTCAGTATCTTTTTCTATTTCTGAGATGAGGTTTATGTTCACTATTTACATTATTCGGACTATTGTTCTCCTCCTTGTCGCCATATTTATTACAACATTTCGGCTCTTCAGTATCTGTTTATATTTCTGAGATGAGGTATTATGTTCACTATTTACATTATTCGGACTATTGTCATAATCTTTGTCGCCATATTTATTACAACATTTCGGCCGTTGTACGCTCCAGCCTTCTTCAGGACACATGGCACAGTGGATAAAGGCATTGGTTAGATCCAGTGACAGGACCGAAACAGTGTGAGTTCAATACCCGATTAAGGCAGTGGGGAACTTGGAAAGGGGAATTAACAGGAGATAACTGATAGCTGACATCCATTAAACATGGCACGTGTAACTAGAACAGTCTACCCCAGTGAGCGAAATAAATTGGTCAGTTCGACATTCCAACGACCTGAAGAAGGTCGGAGCGTACAACGTTTTGGCCGTTGTAATAAATATGGCGAAAAAGCTGAGGACATTAGTTCGAATAATGTAAATAGGGTACATTTCTATATTATTTATCGTAGTTTAGTTGTTGTAGTAACGTGCATTGATCAATGCTTTCAACCTTTCTCGTTATAGTGTACAGTGTCGCTTTTCAGAGGTAAGTTTAAAAGGATCTCTTCATAATATCCTGTATTTTTTAATATGACAATCCAGTGTTCATCATAAATTGTTTATACTTTATTTTTGTCTATTTTATACCACGGACGAAGAGTTATCCCGATACCTAATTTAGGTTGTGCATCCATTCTTGTAGGGTTGATAATACCTTGGATTGTCCTCTAAGATGAGTTATCTAAAATAACAACTGTTATTAATCATCATTTCTCTCGCACTAACCTTAAAATTACATTTTATAGAGTGTACGTTGCAATATAAAATTTGTAACTGTCTATGTTACTATCTTTATAGCTGTTCTGTTCAGTTTTATTACACAAGTTTTTCTTTTATTTTCCCTCCAAAAATATATAAATAACGTTCCTGGCTTTAATATTTAAATCGAAATTTTCCACGAAATCATGATAATATTTTAAAAATATACATATATTTATATATATCCAACATTTCGTATGGAAAATACTGAAAGCAACTTTTAGCGTAGTCAGGTTTTATGCAATCCAAATGCAAACGTATCTTTTATATGAATTTATAAGAAAAGACGCAGAAACGAACCATAACGATATTATATATAGATGAATAAATGTATATTTTGTTATATATCGATATAATAATATTAACATGATATAGGTATTACGTCGCCTGTCATCAGCCATACAAAGACCTTGCTAATTTGTTTAATATTTGGAATTTAAGACAGATTCCATCAATCGTCATTAATTTGCTATTTGGATATTCCTTTTATATACATTTTCTCGATGTTTTATTGATAGATTTTAAGCCTCCTATTGGATTAATAATCGGGGATCATTCGATTATGGTAGTGTCTTTGAAAACTTTCATGCTGAACGATAATCGACATTGCATAATACGAAGATGGAATGTTGTAGATGAGTATATATTTTGTTTAAATTAAAGT